ATACTTTTTTCCCCATAATTATTATTGTTTTCAAAACAAAATGAAATGGAAAAAAGTAGGGAGATGAAGACTGATTCTTCAGTTTGGGTATGTCTTTCTTTTGCGTTTTAGGTCTTCTTTCTGCAAAATGAATTTGTTCGGTAATGATGATTGAAGGATTTGGGAACCGGGGTGGTGGGGCAGGATGATAACTTTACTTTTAATTTTTGGTCAATTATCGTTATTGATGAATTTGAAACCCCGGAGATTCTTTGGAACTTAATTTTTTCGTAAATAGTCATAATTTTTTTCCTGTATTTTTCGAACGACTTCTCAAATTTAATTCTGGGAAATTGTCTATGCGCAGTAAGATTTGAGTTTTTTTTTTTTTTTTTAAATGGAGTGTATTGTCGAGCTTTCGGTAGGCGTGCGTGTTCGTTTGTGGATCGTATCTTTTTATATTTACGAATTTGTGGTAATCTATACATTCATTTCTGATGTTTAACAGCGAGTGTGTTTGGACGGTAAATTATTTGAGATATTTTTATTGTAGCATTTTTTTGATATGATGTATGTGAGATAAAAAGGCGATTGAAAAATGTGTAAATAAGGTGTAATAAAAAATGAAATAATCTTCAATCATTTTTTTAGTGCCAATGAAATAAAATATAAACCTGCAAGCTTTTGCAATCTTCGCTGCACTTGATCAGTTAGTTAGTTTAATATGTAGGATGTGTATTTTGATTGTTGTTATGCGTAGTGTATTATGCATATGGATGATTTGCCTGGTTAATTACGTATATTCAGGAGTAGCAAGATGAAATCACTTATTACCTTTTAGATTGAGTTTACAGATCATATCGTTGTGATTGAGCTTTACTACACTTATTTGGGCTCACAAAACGTGTGTCTAGATTCTCAGGTGAATTAATTGTCAAATCACCTTTTTAGCTACATATCTTAGTATGCCTATTCGTGTCAAAGGTTTAGTGATCCTTGTTACCTTATTAGAAGTGCATCATTTGATGTACATTGGTTGTGCCTAATCTAGGTTAATGGTTTAATCTTGATTTAAAGTTAATTTCAATTCACCATAGATGTTTTCTTGTGCAAATTATTAATATGTCAGCATTTTCTGATTCTGTTTAAGGTAAATATATTTGGTCAGAGCCAAGTTTTAAAAATCCTGTTTCTTTCTCTGATAAATGCATTGACTGGAAGTGTTTAATTTTTATCTGGAAATGTTGTTTTCTCACAAATGCGATAGTATTATCTCCTGAAGGGTTTCTAAGTCTGCATTTTTTCCATTGTTCTGTGGTGTTAAATTGACGGGGATAGAGCAACTAGAAATGCAAGGAGGAAGGGACCCCTTCTTTGGTTTTGGCGACCCATTTGCCAGTGGTGGTTTTGATGGGCATAGAGATTTAATATCTAGCTTTTTTGGAGGGAGAGACCCATTTGATGACCCCTTCTTCACTCGCCCATTTGGGGGTATGCTTGAGTCAAGCTTCTTTGGCCCCAGTAGAGGTCCATTCATGCATTCTCAAGCGCCTAGCCTGTTTGGTCCCAGTGGAGTTCCATTTATGGACGCACAAGCAACTGGGTTTCTGGATCATCAGTCCTCTCATCCCCTAGGTCTAGGGGCCCTATTATTGAGGAATTGAACTCTGATGATGAACAAGATGAAAATGAAGATCAGAAGGAAAAGAGGGATAACCCTAGAAAGCATGGTAGGTCAATCAATGAGCCTTTGGTTGAGGATCCAGATGGCGACGCTGGAGGTTTTTTCTTTTCCTTAATTCCAAGTGAATTTGGTTGCTTTTTATGTTTCTTTTATACATGATAGAGACTAATCGGTTTATGGTACAGAGAGGAGGAGGAAACAAGTGCAGTTCAGGAATGATTACCACAGGGGGAGTATCCCACAGTCACAACCCGAGCTCAAAGCTTCAGCTTCCAGAGCTCCACTGTAACTTATGGTGGTGGAAATGGTGCATATTACACTTCATCTAGTACAAGGAGGACTGGCAGTGATGGAGTAAGTCATCTGCTAGCTTGAATAAGGTGGAGTTCTGGTTTTTTATTTCATTTCACAATAAGTTAATCATAATTTGCAGATGACATTTGAGGAAAGCAAAGAAGCCAATTCAGCTACTCGTGAAGCAGCCCATAGAGTATCAAGGGGAATCCATGACAAGGTATGTGTTTGTTTACTAGACAGATGGTGTTAGTTACATTTATTTTGTTGTAGACGGAAGGCATAAGGAAATAACGATGACTTTCTGTAGGGTCATTCTGTCACTCGGAAGCTGAAATCTGATGGTAGGGTGGACTCCATGCAGACTTTGCACAATCTGGAAGAAGGTACATTGAAATTTGTTTTCGAGTGAAGATGAAACTTCAGTCAAGATGGTGTCTTTGATGTTTCATTTTTTCTCCTGTGTGCCCTGCCAATAAGTTAACCTGTTGTTGGTTTTTTTGAAGATCAACTTGCTGGTTTTGAAGAGGCATGGAAAGGGAAGGCTAGGAAACATCTGCCTGGCTGGACTGATGGTCTGAACCCAGAAGTTATTGGTAAGTGTTTCTGGATTGTCTGAAGAATTTTTGTTTGTCTCAGTTTCCTGCCGAACTATTGTTTTTGTCAGGTTTCATTGATATCTTGTCCATTTTCCTTTATTTTTTTTAAAAAAAGAAAAGTTGAGTGTCTTGGAACTGGCGGTTAACTGCAGGTTGGGTTGAATTTAACAAATGAGAAAATTTGGAATGTTTAGAAGTATCCTATTCGCTTTTAGTTGGGTATGGTGTTGGAATCTGTAGCGGTTGTAATGTTTTTAAATTGTGTTGATTCTAAGAGTTTGTTTATTGATTATATTTCTTAGCTGTCATGCGGAACAAGGAACAATAAGCTGCATGACCTTGCTTGCATGTGGTCCTTCATGAGTTATGGTTATCAGAACTATGGTTTTCCAAATTGCTCATTATGATTTTATACACTATGCTTAAAAAATGTATTTTTGAGAACTACGTCACGTGTAAGATTGAGATTGGACTTCAATCTGGTTGTTTCGAGGCATTTGGTCTCTGGATCAGTGGGGTACCAAGGACCAATAAATTAATGGCTGCGCGTTTGGAGCCCACTTAGTTATGGGGCTTGAGATTGGTGGTTTGAAGAGGATGTTGCTTTTCCTTTTTTGGAAATCTTTTTAGTGGATATAGAAGATGAGCTAATTGGTATAGTAGGTCGAAGTATTGGTCATTCTTGGCCTTGCGCTGCAGACAAGTCTCTGCTGCTTAACTTTCATTATTTGATTATGGTTTTGTTCTTTGGGGATTTTGTTTTCTTTTTTCTTTTTCTGTTTTCTGAAGTATTTAAAGCATGTCTATATTATTATTATTATTATTTTTGTTGGCAACCAATGCTCTAGGATCTGGAAGAAGTGCTGTGAATGGAGCAAATCAGGGAGGGCGGGCACTTCCTTATGTAGGAAGGTCCAATCAACTTGAGAGTGGTGCGGTGCCAGAAATGGGACATGCAGCAGGCCCTTCGCGTCCTCACCATGCTGGAAGGGAAGATCAGCTGTTGGTGGCATGTCGGGTTCTTCATCCCGCGTTAAATCAAGGGCAGCTGACACGGCTAACTTGAATCAAGCCGGGAAGCATTAGGGATCCAAGCTCTCTGTATTAGTGCTGCTATGCTTTAGGTAGTTACTAGCTATATATGTCTTAGGCTTATCCTCCGGATATCTCGAAACAAGATCTGTTGTAACTCTCTGCGCGAGTATGGTGGTGTTATTGATCCGATTCTCGGATCAGTCTGTCTGAATCGAATCTGATATACGACAGATGATATAAGATTTGCATTAGCGTTTGGCATGCTTTTTCTTTTTATATTGTTCAACTTATCAGGCGGCCTCATGGTGGTGAAATCGTACTTTGAGATTTTCTGTCCCTGTGTTTTGGTGGTTTGGATTACAAGTCTTGTTCCACCTCAAAATCGAGAAATTTGTGCTCGGCTAGTTCTCTCATCGTGAGCTTGTCTGGTAATTTTGTTGCGTATGAAGTCTTGGTTGCTGGAACAGCAGTGAAGCTTGAATTACGTGGCAGATTATCATGAATTAAACAACAGATAGATTTCCAGGATTGACAGGTTGAAATTGTACTTTTTCTATTAGGTATCACATCGGCGTCGACTCATGACGATGGTTAGGCTTAAGGTTGAGGATACTTTAGGATGATGTGCTTTAGATTATCAAGGTTGAAAAATTATGGCGGTGCCGGAATCTTCGTCTTATTCCGGTTTAGGTTTGGGAATGGAGAGAGCGTATATGTGGCCGGTGCACTGCTCAACATCATTCATTTTCATATAGTGTGTGTTACTTTCGTTTTTGTTACTTGTTACTATTCCACAATATCAGGTTCTTAATTTCACATCGTGTATGTTTCCTGCCCAGGAGATGGGGATAATATTTTTCTAAAAAATTTTCTGAAGTCGTGAAATAATAAATGAGGATTTTTCTATCATAAAGAGGGAAAATTAACGTCTTAAAAATGGTGTGACATTCACTCCGTTTAATGAAAATATTATACATATTGCTTGGATTGTCGATATTTCAATGCTATCGAATTGCAAATCGTCTAACACAAAGTCGAATGAGATTATTCTTGTTTGTGAAGATTCAATAGTTCATTTTGAAAATCTAAAACTCACCGTTGAATGATGAAAGAATTGTTATTAACTTTTAGATTAAATACTATTAAATATTTAAAATTTAAACTATTTATTTTTAGTGAAGATTTAAATTATTTATCTTTAGTAAAAATTTAAAATAAGTTAAGGGAATGATATTAAAAGGTAATGTGGAATTTTCTGATGCGTGGTTGTTGATATCCAAAAGGAAATGGAAAGCAAAATTCTTCTAATAAGAAAAGAAAAATAATACAAGAGAAAAAAAAAACGAAAAAGAAAAAGAATAAGATGGTGAAAACGTGATTTAGTACTTGTTAGATGGAGCATTAGTTAGTGGCAGAATTTCGAGACTAGCATTTCAATAGACAACAAAAAATACAAAGAAAACTTTAAAAATTGGTGATCACTTTAATTCAATCCTAAGTTCTCCCTCTGAATCCTCTCCTAGGGTTAAGGCGGTTAAGCTAACAGAATAGTTATTGAAATGGCCGTTCTTAGAGTTACGGCAAGCATGATAACTAGAGAAATCTTCCGTCCGGTATTGCTGTTTCCACAAACGTTGAGGAGCTTATCTCACTTACCGTCGCGGCCGGCTGGTTCCCAGTTCAGCGGGGTCCATCTTCCAGTCGTCTCACGCGGCATCAGTTATTGCCCGGTCCGGTGCTCTGCGGCGTCTAATGAAAATGCCACCGGAGAGAAAAAGGCGCCGGCTAGGTTGGCTCTGGTTCAGGAGTTTTTGGTTGCTGCTAACGAGCGTGCTCAATCCGCTGGAAATGAACCTATTCCCAAAATCACTCTTGGTAACTCAATTATCCAAGTATTTTACTCGTTCTTAATGTTTAATGTCATGCATTATTAGCTGAAACTCTGTTTAATTTCTAAAATATTCGTGAATGTTTATGGATGTGTAGCTTGATGCCATTACTGTGTATGGGTGTATTCAAATTATTAATGGAGAATTTGGCTAAAGAATGAAGGAAGAACCAAATTTAAGTCTAACTTTTCGATAATCATATTCTGTGGCAGAAGTATTTAGAAGACTGTATGTACTTTCGTAGGTTAACTAGGTAAACCTTAAACGTTCACATGTTATAATTGAAAGCAGCTTGCGCATGCCTTGGAAAAATTGATTTCAAACAGCTCTTTAAAATTCTCATGCCTCTGAAAGTAATTAACAAAAGTTTGGTCCTACTTATGAAGTTTGCTTCTTCCACCTTGACAGAAATTTAGCTAGAATGCTAAATAATAGATAGATATTGCTAGGGAGGTGGAATAGAGATGGCGGCTTGTCGTATCTTCTCAAATAGATGTGGATCTTCTCAAATAGATGTGGGAAATAGCGGGTATCATGAAACTACGTTGAGGGAATGCAGTGATAAAAGCTAGAAAACACGTAACGATTCCTCCATATTACAAGGTTAAATCATGGTCTTCCAATTTTAATGCATATGCTATAGGTATCCATTTGCTAATGCAGATAAAAGTTTTAATCTTCTAGATAAGGTTGTAGTTAAAATGGTGGTTGAACTTTATGTTCTCAGTCAATTTAAGTTTTGGAGTCAGTGATATCCAACTTGTGAATTGTGATTACTTGTCAAGTGGTACTTGTAATCAGAACCTGATTTTGCAGCATTGGAGGGGCTGGCAATTTTTCCTTTCCTACCACTTGGTTTGCTGAGTGAGAGTTTCCTGGATTCTAAGGAAAAGTTGTTTTGATTCATTTATTTTTCTATGGATGTAATTCGGCAGGCTCTTAATCCAACAGGAAGCTTTGGTAGGACATCCGCTTTAAATACAATTTATGTTTTTGACCTGTGTAAATTTTGATGAGAAATTTTTGCTCATGCAACTTGTTTTCTTTAATTGCAGCTGCTTTGTCAATAACTCTTCTTTACTTGTTTACCTATCAATGGCTTTGTTCAATCCATAGATTCTACTTGTGATATTGGAGAAAGTTGCTTGTTCAAGCTGCGTGTTTTTGCTTTGGGACCAAAGAGTACTAAGATGAAATTCTTCCAATGTATCGTTTTTTTCGTTTTCAGATCATGTTACAGTGAACTTTGCAAGAAGTGGTGGCCCTGGAGGTCAAAATGTTAATAAAGGTCAGCCACCAGCTTGCTTGGGATCAATAAATGCAATTTGTGACCTCCCTTTCTTCTGTAATCCATACTACTTTTATGTTGTATGTTTTCTTCTTAGGCTCATTTTTCTTTTTACAGTAAATACCAAGGTGGATATGCGGTTCAATGTTAGAAATGCACATTGGCTCAGTGAAAGGGTCAAGGAGAGGATCATGCAAATGGTTACCTACTACTGCTATTTTTGGAGTTATCCATTTTTTAGATTTTCAATTTTGGTACAGGGCCACGTTTTACAAGAGGAAAATTGGAACAGGAGTGCCTGAGAGTCAAATTGGTCACCTCATGTTTTTGAGATCCCATAGTCTTGTTAGGCCTAGATGCTCAGTTTCCAGTTTTCTAGATCATGACCCTATGTAGATACCTTAGCCAAATTTAATATATACTTATCGTCTGGAGCAGTATCTAATTTATTAGGACATGTTGGTATGTCCTTCTGGTCTTTGATTTCAAATATAGAGACTGAACTATTTCTGGTCTATTTGCCTCGCCCCTTTTTTTACAACTGCTAACTGGTATTATTTATGCAACTGAGGACACACTGATGCGATTCTTCCACACCACTTTTGCTCTGTTGTGCAAGTTGGTGAACTTTATATTTCAAAAAATGACAGAATAAAAAATAACCTAGGGTTTCTGTCATTTTTTAGAATTGTTAATTTTGTAGTCCGTGCACAGCAAGATAATGTATTGCTATATGCTGTCGTTCTGTCATTACAAATCTAACTTCTTATGTTGTCAACAGGAAAAGAATCGGATCAACAAGGATGGGGAACTTGTAATTTCATCAACGAGGACTCGTACTCAAAAGTTAACTTCTTCTTTAGTCTTATCATTTTCCTGAATTGTTGCACAAGTCATAGACTCACAGTAACATAGTACACATGTATTACAGGGGCAACATTGAAGATGCTTTGGCGAAATTACAGGTATTCATGAGACTAATAAAGAATTTTCAGGTACCATCATGTTGTCGTTGTGTGTCACTAATATCCATGAGCTTCCTCATCTCATCAACACAGTAAAAGCGATCTTCAGTTGGTATATTTAGATGTCAGATGTAACACAATTTCTTAATTTCTTAAATGGATGATGCAGGCTATTATTGATGAGGCATCCTATGTCCCACCACCTCCGTCAGAAGAGACAGTGAAGAAGATTACTAAGTTGTACGATCTTGTCTAAATTAGATCTTCTTAGTTACTCGTGAACATGCAACAAGTGCCTATTTTTTGCCCTACATGTCCAAGAATCATTTTCCATTCAAGGCAATACGGACTATTTTTCTGTATTCTCTTCAACTAATTTACCTGCCATTGCTTCTTCATTCTTGTATGTTGTATGCACACACACACTCTCTCTCTCTCTCTCTGGGTTTGTCTAACAATTCAGGGCTCGACAAATTCTGTACTTTTAAGCGAATACATGTCTTTTAGCTCTCAATATGCTTTAAATTTTAGGTTCTTTTGGACTGACCCCTCTCTTTCTCTCCTAAACACGCACATTCAGGGCAGCTATTGGGGAGCAAAAGCGTCTTGACAAGAAGAAAGCACATTCACAGAAGAAGGCTTTTAGAAGAAGCCGAGACAGTTGGGACTGAGTTATTAGCGCATGAGCTGTGTGCTGCAATTTTTGCAGTGAATCGATGATTAAGCTGAATGTATAGATGCAGATGTTCAGCACCATTTCTGTGTTTCCTGGGTTATCATCGTGAAAACAAAATCTTCCATGTGTCTAGAGTTTCTTGATATGACTATTACACAAGACAGTGGAAGTGATCTAAATTCCCGCCATCAACCAGTTAGGGAAGTAGGATGCTGCAGGAAGAAGGATTACACCTCGTTCATTTTTACTAGTTGCAGTACGTACTGCATCCAGATATAGATATTACAGAGCCCAATTAATTTCTGCTTGTACTATTATTTTGTTCGGGAGCCTTCATATGGATGTAAATTTGGCAGTCGGACAGATTTTCTGTCTGTCCAAAAAAAGAAAAATATGCATTTTACTTGGGACTATCACCTAGCAATTGTCTGCAGCATTTGTGCTTCTGAAACTGTGAAATGACCTATATTTTTGTTGATTCATTAGTTTACAAAGGCGTCCTTTCTGTACAGTGAAACTCGAACTTCTGGGCCTGTCACCAATATCCGAATCCAAACAAAGCTATTACCGCGTTTATGTTGCTTTGAAATTGAAGTTGATGCTTCGGTGGTCAAAAAATAGGGAAGCAGTTGGGAAATGAAGGAAATCCCGCGTTGTACGTGTCCGACGGTGCTTTGCTCATGTTTAGACCTTAGCCCCGGGAAGTTGGTGAATTTTAGGCTCTTTTTTTTTTTTTTTTCAAAGCAAGCAATTTTTATTGAATAAACTCCATTTTTACGCGCGTCAACACCGTGTGTACGTGCAGATGAAGTTTGGATTCGCTATCAACCCAATTACCTAGTTTTTTCGCATATACTCGAGTTCTATTCATTAATACAGCAAAGGTTAAAATTGAGGTGATGCCCTTTTTTCTTTTAGGGTTAAAAAACATACCCAAAAACCGGAGTTGAACAACAGGTACCTGAAAGGCAGGCGATACAATACCAAAAACTTCATCAGACTTAGACTGCAAAATTGATCAAAGCTTTTATATACAACTGGTTGATTGGAAATGGGAAATGCACTAATTTCATTTACATAATGCAAAAAGGGTTTTTTTTTGGGGTTGGGGGAGGGAGGGGGGGGGGGAATACAAAAGTTTTGGTATATAATTCTATTGATTGATTGAGAATCCTAAGGTGCGTGCCCTTCCATGACTGATAACTGATGATCTAATTCAATTGAGAAATCACTTCCGGATGATGAACTCCTCTCCTGTTTGTCGATCAATGTATTTAATCCATCTTCTCTCGCCCTTTCTTGGAACTGAGTTCCCACCTCTTGCTCCAACATGTGCAACATCCAATCCTTTCCCCACAGGCAAAAGAACTGAGCGGACAATCCTTGCTTTAGCATCAAGAGCCGTACGCCATCTGAAATCTGATTCAGCCTTGGCCAAAGCATTCTTGCGTATCAAAACCGCACCCTTTTCACCTAGCTTAGCCACCTTGAAAATTCTAGCAAAATCATTGCACCTGCAATCCACAACCATGAAATCTATACCTTCTAATCCGTTCATAGCGTCCTCCGGCTCACCAACGATGACTTCAGGCGATTTTCCGGCTTTCTCCATTGCTTGAATGTACTTTGACCTTGAGGCTTCATCAGCAACTATGCAAACATGCCTTCCACCGGAGTGATGGCTCGCAATTGCCAGGCCAATACTTGTTGCCATCATCCCACCTTGCGACCAAGCTTCCACAATCAATTTTGCATTCCATCCAGCTGCCATGGCTGATACCATCTCTGCTACACTGGATTCATTGTAAACAACTTTACACTGCAAATTAAAAAGAAAGCAGTCAAAGCCAACATTACAGATGACTTTTTTTTTACAAAAAAAAAAAGGTAAGAGTAAGAATTTTCAGAAATGGAAGGGACTTACTGTTTCCACAGTGTCAAGAAAAGCCTTGGTGGCTGTTTCTGGACACCAATCGAGCTTCATATCTTTTGTTGATGGTATTCTTTTCTGGGGTGGTTTTTCTTGCTCCTCCTATTCTTCTACTTTTCTTGATCTCCAAGGCTTGGGAGGAGTTGTGCTATTCTTCGCTGGAAAGGTAAAATGGTGGATGATGTAGGGGAAGAGGTGTGAAGGTGGGGGTTTTTAAAATGAGAAAGACAGCGACCTAGAAAAGGTCATTTCACACCGTTGACAAATGCAACTTTGCAGCCCCAACCAAATCCAATGTGTCGATTGGGATTAGACTGGATTACTTATTTACATCTGCTTTTGTTTGTTTTCTTATTTTTTTAGTCACAAATTTTTTGTTGCTTTCTGTGTTTGGTTTTAATTCGTATATATCCTGCTTGGTTAGACAACAGGCTGCTAATATTTATATGTGTTTTTCTGGTATCGATTAGGCTTTGCCCAAGTCAATTTGTCACGCAAGGACATAGGCAAATTAAATTTGTATGACTTAAAAAGCATGAAAACTTTGCCAAAACTTCTCTTCACATTTATTATTCCTCTTCAGCCCAATTGACAGGCAAATGTCAGATTCGGTCCATAAAGACAAAGGAAGATTTTCACAGAATTTCAATCCCTGATCCTCTGCTGTGAGCCTTTTAGGCTGGGGACAACTTAAAAAGGTTCCCAAGCATGCGAAAAAATGGAGCTCAATTTCGGTTATAGATTCCTGCATCATCAGGTGTAACATCGTATGATCACTTGTAAGAACCCTGTTTTTTTTCTCTCTTTTTTTTTTAAATTAATTTTTTTACATTGACAGTATATATATTATCAACGTTGGAATGAATAATAATTATATAAAATTTAAATTTAAAATTCAATTTTTGCTCACATATATCATGAATTCGACGATGATAGTATATACACTTTCAGTATATATAAGATTTACTCTTTTGTTTTAATCTTCAGTTAGTCTGTTTTTGGGATCCACTGGCCGGAGAGGCAAAGCCGCAAAAGAGGGAAGACAAATCGGTAAGGGCTTCCGTATGATTCCGTGGACCGTACGAGACCTTACGATCCTCTCAAAAACCTCTGGCAACGGTTTTTGATTCTTCGTCGCTGCAAAACTTGTACAATTGACTCTAGCCTGCCAACTACGTTGACTTCATCCCTTAGCAGCTTTTTACGCCTTGCTCCCAATCATTGCCACGTATGCAATTTTCTATTTTTCCATGTCACGTAGCTGATCTTTACTTTAATCTGTTGTACGCATGTACAACTGTACAGCCAGTCGAGGCCCCATGGCTTGAGGGTTGACGATTGGAGTTCAAAGTCCTTCGCTATCTAAAAAATTGAGGAAAAACAGAGACAAGGAAAACGTCAAAAACCTCAAGTGGTAAATTGTCTAATTTAAATTAAGCAGATAATCCTTTGACCTAGGCTCCTCCTTGATAGTTTAACATCAAGTTATCGTAGCTTTCTGAAAACTATAAGGTGCATGCGTGGTTTGAGGTACATTTACGGACAAAATGTTTGGAGTGGCATTCAAACTATTACAAAATTTAATTTTCAACTCTTCAACTATTAATGAATAAGTTTTAATCCTCCAACTAATTAGAATATATAATTCTTATCCTTCCATTAATTTGGATCATTATGTGTAACAGAAATAGCACGACATGGGTTCTAGTAGTTTTCAAAATATTTTAAAGTTCAACTTTTGACCATCCAATTATTAACGGATAAGTTTTAACTCTTCGATTAATTAAAACATATAATTCTAGTCCTTTTATCAACTTGAGTTATTATGTCGTACAAAAACATCACGCGCGTGAGGGACGGGGCATACTGGAATGTCCCCATTTTTGTGTCTAAATTTCAAAAATATACGGCAAATTAGTGTCATAATCAAGATACAAGCAATAGCTATGGAGCAATGTATCACTGTTTTAATCTTTCCAGACATGCCTAAATCTGATGAACATGTCTTGTGAAAATAAAAACTCTGCTCAGTTATGCCCCTTACCGTGTACGCGGAGATGTTTATGTTCGACATAATGACTCAAGCTATGATTATATCTTCGAATTAGTTATAAGTCTAAAACTTATCAATTAATAGTTGGAGGGACAAAAGTTGAACTTTGTAATAGTTTGAGGGCCACCGAAAAATCATGAATCCTTTAACTCAAGTTGACATAATGACTCAAGTTGATGGAATGACTAGAATTATATGTTTTAATTAGTTGGAGGGCTAAAACTTATCTATTAATAATTGGAGGCTAAAAGTTAAATTTTGTAATAATTTGAGAAATATTTTGCCCTAATATAATAAAAAAGCGTGCCTGTCTTAATGCAGGTCTTTCCTTCTTGGGTCTTTACGTTTTAGATGGTAAAGAATTAATGTTTATCCCACGCCTTGATATGATTCACGAATGACAATGGTAGAGAACATGATTTACTTGTGAGGGAAGAAAGGAAAGAGATGTTTATTAGGTATAGACGAGGAACATTGAAGAAAAGGCATTTTAAATTTTGTCAACTTGAGAATTATAATCTGAAATTCCTAAGCTCCTAATTGTATATCTAAATACAGCAAGCGAGTTAAGTGCAAATTAAGTAATCGGGTGGAAGAGAAGACGACGATGTTATAGCTGTCCTATATAGTTGCTAGTTTCTTGGCCACTTCATGCTTAACCAAGTTGTATCATATATAATCTTGAAATTAATTTCACTTGCAAACGATGACGTTAAGTGTGGAGTTGGCCTTTAGTTTGGCCAAAACAAGATAAGTTTGATCTTAGTTAACGAGAGCCGACTGTGCCATCAAAAACAGGATTGACACTGTTGACAATTCGCCAACAATTTTTTTTTTTTTTTTTTCAAAAGTAGCCATCTAAATATAGATATGACTAATGATTATGACCATAAACGTTAAATATAAGTACGGGTGACGTTTTGATGAGCTACATACCATCATGTTTCTTAGTTGCATCACTTCTTCTCCCTCTTTTTTTTTTTAATGACCAAATAGAATTTGACTAATGATTACTTAATTTCCATGCCTCGTATTATTCTACTACTACTTAGCCACGGAAACACTCGTGATCATCCAGAGAAGAAAGGTAATACTAATACGTACGTTGTATCATTATCCTATTATGGTGGCTAGTTGTCTTTTTTGAAGGAAATGATGGTGGCTAGTTTAATGACATACTCCAATTGAGAAAAGTGATTAATTACGGCTAAGTACCAAGAGCTGACCTGAGTTTGTAGAAAAACAAAGAAACGAAGGCTGACAAATAAGCCACTCCTCATATATATATGTACGAAGAAACGATGGATGGATGCAGCGCTTATCACTTATTGCAGTCGCGATTCAATGCACAACAAAATATTATACTGCCATATAAATCTCGGCCATATATTTTAATAAGCACCTGGTCTTCATTAATAGCGGAAGGCCAAGATCTTCATAATATAGTAAAATCTTTCCTAATTATAGCGGATTATGTTATGCGAAATAGCAGCACCC